GCTGTTGATGGAGGCCAAGTGAGCAAAGTGCAGAACCCAGAAGAGCTAGCCCAGGAACTGTCAGCATCACTCACCCGGTGTGTGCCTGGGTCCTGTGCTGGGGGATATGTGGCCTGGGTAGGGGAAATATGTGAGAGCCCGTGGGGGTGTTGCATACCGTGCAGGGCTGGGTATACACCTGCATACAGTTGTGTTCACATGGAAACATCTTGGGCAGGTGGGTGGGAGGAGGGAAGGAAGACAAGATTGGCTATGGCTGTGAGCCCCTCTCTCTCCACCCCTGTACCAGGGCTCTGGGCCTGCGGGAGCAGCTGCAGTCCTTGCGGGAAGAGCTGGAAGAGGTGGCTCAGAAGGGGCGAGCCAGACGTGCCCAGAGTACTGAGCTGAACAGTGATTTATGCAAAGCTCACAGGTGGGTCTCCCTATGTGACCTCAGAAGCATCCCTGGCTCTCCCTGGGCCTCAGCTTCCCCCCTGTAAGGTGGGTGGCAGCTTCAATCCATTCCACACCTTCTCTGGTGCCTGATGTGTGTCAGCCCCTACTGAGTGATTCTGGGACTCCAGGAAGACCCATTCTCAAAGAGCTCCCGTCTGGGGCTGGGAATACATAGCCCCTGTCTTGGGTGGAATGGGGGGCTGTTTCCTGGCTCATCCTCCTACTCTCTCCAGTGCCCTGGTCATGGCCTTCCGTGGTGCCCACCGGAAGCAGGAAGAGCAACGGCGGAGGCTGGAGCAGCAGGTGGCACTAATGGAAGCCCGACAGGCAGAGGAGCTGGCAGTGCTGGAAGCCACTGCAAGGGCCCTGGGGAGGCCCAGACTGCCCTGCCTGCCTCCCCGGCCAGGGGGGACCTTTCTATAAGCCCTGCTCTGGTTGTGTCTGGACGTGCCAGATAGTTATGGCAGGTCATGTCATAAACTATTCTGGAGTGATGTTATGTCATGTGGCATGACTTTGCATGTTGAGGCGTGTTTGGTGTGATGGGGGTTGATACCTGGGTGTCTGGGGCTTGATAGTGGCCAGGCGTTTGAGATAAACTTGGTATCTTTGGCCTGACACCATGTGGCATGTGAAGAGACATGTCAGCAGGGTCATGCCAGAAGCAGCTTGGGCTGTGGGGACAGGATCCCCAAGGCTGGCTGGGGGGATTCAGGGTTCAGTGAGCTTACATAGCCAGAGCTGAAATTCCAACCCTTATCTGTCTCCAGAAGCCCAGGGAGGAGTCCACTGGGGCAGGGCACACCTTCCTCTGCAAACCTCCTTCCCAGGGAAATGCTGGGTTTGGCCTGGCAGATGTTCCCAAGAGGAAGATACCCATAACCCAGAAGGAAGACTGAAGCCTGAACAGTTCAGGGTGTGGAACATTAGCTGGAAGAGCATTGCTCCCTGAGTGAAAGTGGAGGGAGGAATCAGAGGTGGCTTTGGAATTTGCATTCAAAGAATGTGGAGCTAAGGTAAAGGGCCTCTGGGTGGTGAGCAAAGCAAAGGGAAGAAAAGCTGCAAGCAGTCATTCAGGGGGTTTGTACAGCTGTTGATGAGGAACTCAGAGAGGTGCTAATGGTGGGCAAAGAGGCACACTGCCTTCCAGGGCCTGGATGGCCCTTGGCCAGGCTGAGAAGTTGAGTCTTTCACCTGCCAGAGATGGGAGCTGTGGGAGGTGTTAGTGTCAGATTAATAGCAGGCAACTGATTAGCATGTTATTTGCGTAGGCCACACCCCTTGCCCTTCCACCCGGGTCTGGCAGGGCTGGGAAAGGGGGGCTGGGCTCGACCCTGCCGCTCCGGATTAGCGGCCAGCTGTCCCGATCTGGGCGGTAGCTGAAACTCAAGACGGGGATTAGAAAGATTTTCATTCTCAGCCCGGTGGTGGTGGGGGCGGGGCGCGGGGTTCCAGGCAGCACCTGTGCAGGTGTGTGCGCGGCGTTACCGGCTCTCCCTGGGAGGGCAAGGCTGGCCTGAGGTCGGCGCTAGTAAGCCGCCAGGACTCAACCTGGTCCTCCGGATCCACAGACTCCTCGGGCAAGCGCTGGGGCTGGTGACCTTCGAACCCCGCGCACTCTCTCTGGACCGAGGCGGGCTTTGCAGAAAGCAGGCAAACTCAGGCAGGCGAGGTCGCCAGTGGCCGAACAGAGGAGCCGACTTTACCCCCCTCTTGTCCCTCTCCCTCCCTAAGAGTCTGTGACCTTAGCCCCGAGTCCCACCAGGTTGCCCGTGGAGGGGGGGGCCCGAGAGGAGACAAGGTCACCTGTTGTTGGGTGGGGAAGGAGTTCGCTCTGGAGGTGGAGGCAGGAGCTGAGGTCGCCATTGGGGGGCGGGGGCAGGTTCCCAGGCCGCCCGGAGCTGTGTCTTGCGGTTCCCACGGGTGCCCCCGCGGCAGATGGGCCCAGGCCTCTTTGTCCCCGGTCCGCGGCCGCTGCAAGGTCAAATGTCACCGCGGGGCCGCGGGCAGGGGTCAGGGGGGCGGGGCAGGACTTCGACCCTCCCCCGGAGGGCCCTGGGTGTCGGGGCGGTGGAGCTACTGGGAGGGGGCGGGGCGGCCGCCGAAGGGTTGGACCAATCCGAGGTTCTGGGATCTGCTGCAGACCTTCTCGCAGTCTCCAACCGGTCCCCAGACCGCCACTTAGGAGCCCCCTTCCTTCAGACTTGTGGCCTTCAAACCCCAGTTCCTTGCCTCTTCCCTTCTCCAGCCCCCCTCTGACTCCTTTCCTTGAGGCTTCTCTTCCTTACAAGTCTCCCTCTCTCATCTCTTCTCTGAGACACCGACCTCCATGTCTCCCCCCACCCCATCAAGGATCTTAGAAAGTCCAGACCAGGGACCTAGGACTCCCGTCCTCACCTCAAAACCCAGCCAGCACCCCCACGTTCCCCGGCACCCCCAGAACCAAAGGGTCCTCTCTAACCATCCAGGCCCACCTCCCCTAGAGCGGCTTACAGGGCAGAGAACTCCACTCTAGTCAGACCCATGGAAAGTCCTTGCTCGTGTCTAACCCTAGTCCTTCTTGCTTTCTGTACTTGTTAAAACCTCCCCCACCTCACACCCAGCCAGACCCTACCCAGAAGGCCCAGAGGCCCAGGGCTGGGCATCTATTGCCTGGCTTCTCCAGAACCTTGGTATCATCTTAAATGCTGCATGATCTCCAAGCATCTCCTGCCCTAGTCACGGAGGGTGCCCCCTCAGATGTCATCTGGAGAGGGTAATGGCTTTTCCCAAGGACGCTTCCTGAGAGACGAGGGTGTAGGAGCTGGTGGGGGCAGAGGGCACTGCTCTCCTGCCTACAGCCTCAGAAGTCCTGCCACGTGCCCTGGTGTCCAGCTCAGCCCAGGACAGGGCAGGAGATAAGGCGGGGTGCCCAGACCTGCAGGACTGCAAGGTGAAAGGTCACTGCAGGAAGGGCTTTTCCAGCCGGTTAAATGTTAACAGGCCAAGAAACAGAGGCCCAGGTTTCTTTGCCCAGGGCGGCTGGGGTGGCATACAAAGAGTGCTTAATATATGCAATATATGCTGGCTGCCCCAGCCCGGGGTCTTGGGTGTGTGTGTGTGTGTGTGACGTGGAGGCAGAACGGCAACTGGGAGGCTCTAGGGAGCCTGGAAGAGACATCTGTAGTCCAGCCGGCCCCTGGCCAAGCCCTTTCTGTGAAGCACAGAAAGAAAAGGAAATTAAAGGGGAAAGGGGCAGGCCCCGCAGGGGTGGTGGGAATTCCTGTCGCCTCCAGCCTCGCTGGGCGGGTGGGCGCACTGCCCACAGAGGCCTGAAATTCTGGCGAAGGCCACCCCCCACCCCACCCCCGCCCCAGACCTCGCGCCCCCGCCGGCCGCAGACCACAACATCCCTTCCCCCCGGAGATTCCGAGCACCAGGTGTTAGCCCAAGCAGAGAAAGGGTGGGGTGGGGGTCGGACGCGAAGACTTTCTGGAAGAGGAAGCAAACACAATCCATCATGCAACTGTGCAAAGAAATGCCCCAGGGTGTGTGTGTGTGTGTGTGTGTGTGTGTGTGTGTGTGTGTGTATTGCGCAGGGGCGTGCCCCCCGGGTGCAACCGGCCCCCCATTATTGCTTCTGCCGGGAATGCAGGGGGGTGGTGCCGAGGGGCGCCTCGAGGGCGGCTGAGCTACACAACGTCCAAGGCCGGAGGTGGAGGGGAGGGCCTTAGAGAGACATCTTGGCGAGGCTGCGGAAGGGCAGAGGGCAGCACTGGCCCAGGCTCCCGCCGCGGCCCGGCGGGGGTTAAGGCTGGAGCTGGGCGAGGGCGGGGGTGGGAGAGGAGTGGGAGAGGGAGGGAGAGGGAGGAGGGTCTGGTCGTGCGGCCCCGCGCTCCGCCCTTGCCCCTCCCGCCGGCCTGGGCGCCGGGCGCCGCGCACGGCCACCCATGTCCTTATAAGGGCGGCCGTCGCCGGGGCAACGAGCGCCCGCCCCCAGCCCGCGGCGCGCGCCCCTGCCCCCGCCCCCACCCCCCCCCCGCCCCGCGAATGGAACGTTGTGTGTCAAACCGGCCGCAGCGCGAGGCCGGCGCGCGGGGTCGGCGGCGGCGAGAGCGAGGCTCGGGCGCCGGGACAGGCC